CACCCCCACCCCCCCCAGCACCAGGAAGGAGAAAGTAAAGCAAAAGGCTTGGGAATCAAGATAAGGACAGGAAAAAAACCATAAATTTAATACAGACACTAATACCACCACCACCATGTAACAGAGGAAGAGCGTGAGAATCATTACCACCTCCTGACAGCACCTTCCCCCATCCCTCGCTTCTTCCCAGGCTCAGCTTTGTTCCTGATATCTCTGCCTCCTCCCCACCAGTGGCACAGGGGGCAGGGAATGGGGGCTGCAGTCAGTCCTGACGCTTCCTCCACCTCGGGGAGGGGGAACTTCTGTCATTCCTCTCCTGCTCCAGCCTGGTCCCCCTCTTACAGGAGACAGTCCTCCACAAACCAGCTCTGACATGAGCCACTCCCACAGGTGTGTGGGTCACCCCCACGTGCTGCAATCCTCCCAGTGCTGAACGACAACAGCGGGGGCTTCTTCCCACAGGGTCCAGCCTCCTTGGGGCACAGTCACCTAGGTCGGTGTGGGGCCCCCACAGGCCGCAGATGGGCATCTGCCCCAGCACAGACCCCCATGGGTGGCGGTGGTGGGGCCCTGCTATCCTACCATGGGATACGAGGGTGTTAGGCACCAGCACACCTCCCCTCCTTCTCCTCTGTTCTTCCACTGACCTCAGTGTTCGCACAGATGTTCTTACAACTTCTCCTTGCTAGTCCCAGGTTCCCCTTCTTAAATACGTTACCACAGAGGCACAGCTAATTGGCCCTGGTGCCAAGGCGGGTCTGACTTGGAGCTGGGGGAGCTTTGAGAAGCTTCTCACAGGGGGCATTGCTGTAGCCCCCTCCCCTGCTACCAAAATCCCCGCCACTTACTCAAACCCAGGATACCCATTACACCTGAAGGAAAGGACACACAGGACACCTGATTCTTTTCACTTATGATAAACCTTGCAGTTAATGGGAAACTGGACAGCTGAGACTCTGCAAAAATGCATGCACATACATGACATTCTGTCTGCCTGCTCTGCTCTTTCAGTTTCCCTGATGGAAACAGGATTCTATTAAGATATTTCCAGAAAGGGTGCATGCTTTTATATATATTATTTTAAGACAGTAAGGCATCAAAACTAAATAAGCATTCATCTATAGTACTGCAGGCTACCCTTGTTAAATATTATAGCCCTTGAATGTGGTAAAATAACTCCTAAAGTGATTCATCAAAAAAAGAAAACCAAAGGTGATTCTAGCAGTTACATGCCTGTAATTTTCACGTTCCTTGTATTATAAATTAAGTTATTCTAATGAAGGTTAGAGTAATGAGCCATGTAATACAGTATGACAGAATCACACAAAACCAGCCCCAACGTGAGGAACAGCAAACTTTCAATCCTGCTTAAGTTCTGTGTTGTCAAGCATCTAGAAGTGACTTAATCAGTGACATTCACTGTATCATCTGAAAGCTGTCAATCAAGGCACTGCTCTGACCACAGAGTTCAAGTCAGAACTACACAATGTACAATTACAGATCACTGAGAAATCCTAGATGAACACCATTTTTCAGGCACACACTCCAGAGAGACCCATACTTCATGCCCATTAACTGGAAGGACATCAGGGATAAATTTAGCAAGTTAAGAGTTTTCAGATAGCAATTAAACAACTGGTGGTATTGTAGGGATGACTATAGCATGTACCGTGCTCTATAACCACAGAACCATATTAGACTATGCCAAAGGATCCATCTTGTACCAAATTCTGTCTCAAAGGAATGCCTAAGGAAGAGTGGAAACAGGGGAGGAACTTGTTGTAGGCCAGTATGCTTTCAACCTCCTACTGCTTCTACTTCAGAGAACTTCCCAAGTTGGATGCGACTTTGGTATGTAGTAATCTTTTCTGGGTTTTTTTCTGTGTACTTACCTGCTCATTGAACCTACCTTAACTCGTAGCATCAGCAGCTTCCTTGGCAATGAATTGGAAGCTGCCCTTCCACAGGCCCGCTGCTCAGCGCATCAAGAATCTGTTTGTTTGGATTATTGCTCCCATTAGCTTCATCTAATGTACCCTGCTTTTTGTACTGAAGGAGACAAATTGATTGGTATCCATCTTTGTCGTACTGTGCATAATTTTGGACTTACATCTTTTCTCCTCTCAGTCATTTCTTTTCAAGACTGAAAAGTCACAGCCAACTCAATTATTATTTGTAAGAAAACTGTTCCATGTCTTTAGGATAAGCTTTATTGCCCTTCTCTGAGCTGTTTCTGCTTTTATGAATGTTTTTGAGATGAGGGGATCCTTGCACAGTATCTAAGATAGAGATGAACAATGACTTTTTTTACATAGAGTGCCATACTGGTTTTTCTATTCCTTTACTAATCATCTAAAGGTGGTGTTTGTGGGTTGTTTGGTTTGGGGTTTTTTTTAATAGTAGCTAAATCAGTATGCATTTTCTAGTTACCTTGTCGTATCCTCTCAGCTTCAAGTCCATTTTTAGGAAATGATAACTTCACTTACTCTAATCATCAATCTGCTTATTCTGTAGTGACCATAAAAACCATCACACTCTTTTTAATGTTGTTTTAATTGTAGTAGCCACTAGACAGTTCTGAATCTGAAGGATATACTATTTAATAAAAAAAAGACAAGCAAAAGAAAATACCATCTTATTTCACACTTGCAGAACAGCTTTGAACTGTTTTGCTAAGAGTTCACTGGCGTCATTGGTAGAGCAAACAGTGCAGTTTTCCTTATTTGCAGGCCTTGGTGAGAAGGCAAAACAACTCTCTTTCAAAGTGGGGACTTTTTTTATTTGGGAATATGGACTGAATTATTCTCTCTAGGCTTACGCAATAAAGCTACTGAATCACTCACTATGGTCTACTCCTGCAGAGTCAGGTGAATTAAAACTCATGCAGATAGTATGACTAGGAACTTGTGAGTTACAGAGGTCACTTTCCAAGAAGGACTGAAAAAATGCTGCAAAAACTCTGTCAAAGACCACCCTGGATCACTACCAAATGAAGCTTAAAGCTAGCTCAGTAAACTGAAATTATTTTGGAGGAGCTTTGGACTCATCTGTTTGAAGATATATTCATAACTGAAATTCTGCAACATTTGGCTAGGAGATAAATACATTTGGCTAGAAAACGTGTGCACCTGGCATCCCTGCACTATACACGGTAGGCAACAGTGTAGCAGAGCCAGCAGCGAGGTGGGTACCCACCCCACAAAACTCATCATTCTCTCTACCTTTCCCCAATCCCAAAAGCCAATATTGGAGATGGATAAACAAGGAGGATCCTTTTGATATAATAGGTATTTTAAGAAACACACCTATTAAAGGACACTTCTTATGTCCTAGCAGAGAAATTCCTGCATAGGAAAAAGAACCTTAAATGATACAGTATTTCCTATTGACACATTGCTTACAATTTAAGTCTTCATAAACAAGACTATGAAGTAACTGAGTAAATATTACTACCAATGTGCCAAGATAGACAGGAAACCACAACTGCAGTTAAGTGACTCTTCTAATGAAATGGAAGGAATAAATGCTTAAAACATTACCTAAATTTGGTGATTTTGATTTCAAGAGGCTTGAGATGGTGTTAACCTCAAAGTGGACAGACACTGCACTGGTAAAAAGGCGATACACATTCCTGATTCTAACTGTCCAACTGCATGCCAACTTGTTTGTGACACAGGAATTCAGGTTAATTGTATTATTCAGTCTTGGATTGCTGCTGTTGGATTGATCTTGGCAGCTGTGGCAAGATTGCATTTTGCAGCCTACCATCTGCTAGAACGCAACTACATACAACTCATCTTTGTGGCATACTTTGATACGCTCTTCATGGGGCTTTAGACCATGCAAATAAAAACTCAGATAGAGACTGCCGCAAACTACTAAGTGGATTTCACATGAAATCATTTGACACTGGTATACAGGGAATTACCATATTATTGAATTTAACATCGATTTTAAGAACCCTTGCACATCTGGGATGTAGTTATCTCAAGGACTCTGCTAATCTGGACTGTTAGTAGAGGGAG